TTTTTTTTTTTGTGGTCTGAACAAAAACATCTCGTTAGTTTCACCATTTGAACAAAACACTTTCAGACTAAATTTAAATGATCTTTAAATGTCAGCTGGTTTTAGACACAATAATTTTTGACTTCATCACACCTAAAAACACCAAATCCTTTCTTTCTTTTGTTGTCTTGAAGTTTGCAGACACTGCAGTTTTTAATAAAATATTTAAATGAAGTGAAACATTGAACACTATTTGATTAGCATCGAGAATAGCAGCAGCTGGGAGATGAAAAGCTCCTCCGTCTCCCTGGTGCCTGATAAAGTAGCATATTACTGTCTGTGAGGTAGTCCTTATAACACCAGCTGCATACAGAGCACAAACCCAGCTCCTAGTTATTCTCGGCACATATTTATAGATAGAACCAGCAGCTACTGGAGGATCAGATCACTCCTTATTGTGCATTTTAAACACCCAGAAACCACAGCCATGTGACAGCATGAAAGACGTGTGTCAGTTCTCAGAAGACGAAAAGACTTCCTGTCAGGGATCCAATAAAACTCCTTCTTATGGATCCTTCTTTTCAGGGGACAGGATAAATGTAAGAAACGTGAGTAACCCGTGTGTTCAGGTGTGATACAATCTTACCCAGTTTGAACTGGTCGGAGCTGTTGTTGCAGGTCTGTTGCACCTCCTCGCTGTCCCATCCCAGCGGGTAGAGCGCGCAGCCGGAGCCGATGAGCAGACCTGAGGGCCAGATTAAGAGGAACGGTCAGGGAATCGCAGAAACACAACTCACGGCAGAAATACGGCGGGGAGGAAAAAAAACCGGCAGCAAGGACAAACTCTCGTCGTCAAGCTCTTTGAAGAATGGTTTCGTGGGACGGTCTTTGTGGTTTCTCAGAACTTTTCGCCCGGAAGATAACCGTTTTTTGTCTGCCTCTTTACCGAAATATCTCATGAACCATTGGAGGAGTTTTATTGAAACTGGCACAAAGTAATCACTGGACATACATCTACAACTGCTTACCAGCTGGAGTTGATTAAATTCAACATGGCTGCCTCCGCTAATTAATGTCGCACAACACAAACACCGACATAACTCAGTCAGTTCGAATGATATTGAGCTAAAATTTCACGCGGCGTAATTTTAGTTTATAAATTAATTCGATATTCAAAAAAGGCACAGCCACATCTTGTTGCTGTTTTTTTTTACATCACCATTACATCTCTATATCCATCAAGCCGAACTCCATTAAATCTGTGGATTTTTTTCTTTGTGCTTTAATTAAAACCCTCAGAAAGACAGAGATGTGACTCCAACAGCTGAAACGGAGGCAGAGACGCAGCAGTTTCACCCCAAGGCAAGCAATATTTTGTAAAATGATACGGGCTGTGATTTTTACGTCTTCGCCCCTTTTTTTTCTTCCTGCAACATAACAAAGCTCTCCTCTGCCAGCGTATCGTACAACTCACGCAAATTAACAACAACCCTTATGCAAATGGCTTGGCAATTTTTCATGCAGGCAGGAGTGAAAAACAGGAGCTTTTTTTAAAAGTGTGTAATAATTACTGTAAAACTCAGGAGAATCCTTGAGGGACTGCTTTATGTCAGTGATTATGGAAACTTATGACTGCGCTTAAAGCTGCTCCCAAAGACAAGAGCAAAATCCAGTCAAGGCCATTACATTAAGGATTAATATCCTCAATATTTGCCCGTAGCCAGGTCTTGACAAGTTATTCCCTGAATGTCAAGGACTGTCTCTTAAAATTATCCTGTGGGGGCCCCTGGTAGGTGGCTCTGCCATCACATTAGCTTAATCCTCTCTGATGCGTCTGCCCCGCTATCAGTTTTGGGGGGGGGATGCGAGTATGGCAGCCGAGCAAAAAAAGAAAAAAAAAAAGGCAAGAAAGCGCCGCCTGCCAAAGTGATTAGCCCTACCATCCAGGGCTGCCTTATTACATCTACGCTTGATAACAAGCGGGAATTAATCCACATGCTAATGGAAGCGGGCCGGACAAACTGGCTAACGTCTGAGGTGGAGTGGGAAAAGTGAAAAAGACATCTGTGTTTTTTTTCCCCCCACGTCAAAGTCAAAAGGACAGCAGATTTCTGGGAGAAAAACAGAGTGGCTGACTTTGGTATTGCTGGTAGAAAATCAATTCAGTGAAACGCTGGCATACTGATGAGGCTGGGGGCCCTACGGCTCAGTAAACGATGTAATTCTCCTTAAATGTTCAGTTAAAACAAAGGTTTAATACATCTGCATGCCTTTAGTTTGTGAGAGTAAACAAAAAAATGTGATTTTTTTAAAAACTTTTATTAATAATAATTATTAAGCTGTTTAATTTTACTCATTATTTTCCAGATAGAAATACACTGAGATCTGTTCAAACCTCAGCATTCATTTAGACCTCAACCTCCACACACTATATAATCAGCTGACTCAATAATAAAAAGTGAATTTGGACTTTTTGTCAGGTTTAAGATAATTCAGAGACAGGTTAAATTCAGGGGCTGCGTCCTCCGAAGGCTGAATTTGTCGGTTGCTGACATCACAGCAAGGGATGCACCGATATGAAAATTTCAGCTGATATCCAATATAATTATTGCTGTTATGGCCGATAACCGATTTTTACCGATATTACACAAACACACAAATTATATTATACATGTACGCACAAACATACTTGGGTCGTTTTTTAATACCATAAATAAACAACCAGACCTCTGACATGGCTCTACTTCAGTTTTTCATGGCTGTGCAGCGTCACTAACACTATCATGATCAAACAGATACCACTCAACCAACCATCTCCCTTCCAAAACAGAAACACAAAGCTAAAATGTGGGAAATCAACATCGGATGTTAATATCGGCCCAGTTTTACTTATCGGATCGATACCGATATTCTAAAAATTGACCAATATCGGCCGATACCGATATTAATGCCGATATATCGTGCATCCCTAATCACGGGGCCGCACCGAAGGCGATCCAAATTCAAAGACTCCTCCGATGGCCCTGATTTGAGGGAGGGGTCTGATGGATTCTCGGCCCACCGTATCCCATAAAGCATTGCGAGTGGACCGGAGCATTTTTTTCCTGCTCGTAATGGTGGACGAAGCAAGAGAAAGGAGTACAGTTTTAAATAAAAATCTGACGGTATGAAAATGAAAAGTTTCAAGCGGTTGTGTTGTTAATGCTTTTATCATTTTGACATGTTTTTAACATTATTCTTGTCAGCAATCAAACGAGCTGGTATAGAAAAATAAATGTGCAAATACTGCCTTTAAGCTAATTTTGTTCTTTTATGATATTTTTAATACTAATATCTAGACATTTTGCTGATGTCGATCTATTTTTGCTTCTGTTTAGCGTCATCACAGTTGTGAGGCGACAGGAGTAACATCGGGGTAAGGAGGGGAATAAAGTAGAAGACTAGATCGTCCAAATTCACAAGGTCGACCAAGGACCCGGCCCACCTAAACCGGTTAGTCCGGGGGTCTGCAACCTGTGGCTCTGGAGCCACACGTGACTCTTTGGTCCCTCTGCACCCTCTCCAGTGGCTATTTGAAAATGTGGCCAAACATAGAATATTTTTTTTACCCACAACAGAAATCAGTTTGTATGCAAATAAGTGATCAATACAAATACAAGTAAACCATGTTGATTAGCTCATGCTAGCCTGTTGTGTACTTAAATAATCCAATTTCTTTCTATGATCCTTCTCTCAAATCCATCAGAATTACCTTTAAAGAATTCGAATAGCTCAGTTGTACTAGTTTTTATGAAATTTGGTGTAAACTATATACAGTATTTTTCTTGTTTACATGAATATAGTCTTTTCATTTGTCCTAATGTGTAAGATTAATAATAAATAATAAAATTCACAATATATTTTTTGGTTTTATAATGTCAACTCCACTGGCCGTAAAAGTTCCCAAAGAGGCCTCAAAAAGGCCCACGGACCACCAGTCACCAATCACAGTTGTAGCTTGTTTTGTGACTCTGAACACATGTTATTAGTGCGTCAAGAAGCAAAAATGGCTCTTTTGATCATAAAGGTTGCAGACCCCTGGGTTAGTCCTTCGAAGGACCCAGCCCCTGGATTTGGACACAGCCACAGTTGTGTGTGATTCTTGCAGAAGTGGACCAACAAAACCTGTTAAAGTCTGCAAGTCCTGGCAAAACGTTTGAACATTAGAGTGGGTCCAGGATGCTGCAACTCATCCGCCTCTCTTCAAACCTGTACAATTCTGGTTTTCCCTTCGTAAAAACTATTTATTCTGCCTGAGCTGTGCAGCAAAAGTAAAACAGGAGCATGTAATGTATTTTTTTTTTATTCCAGCAGACTCTTGGTTACTCCAATGAACTCAACCCCTCCATTATTCTGTGAGGTGCAAAAATGTATTTAGGAGCACACACAGCAGTTTGCATATCCCCAGTTATATAATTTTATTCATTGTGTTTGGTTCAGATTTGTAACAGTAAGGACCGTAAAGCACGCCAACTCGGTTATGTATTCATGATTAATATTAAACAAATTCTAAAATTCCCTTTAAAGGCAGCTGCATGTAATCAAATTTAATTTCTTTGCAGGAAAAAAAAGGGAGGGTGGGGGATCATGTGTTTCTGTTTTACAAAGATATGACATTATATTTCCTCTTGCCATGAGAAATGTTTTTTTTGTTTGAAGCATTAGACTCGCACCTTAAACAACACGTCTGCTGAAAACAAATCTGAAGCTGCTCTGAGAAACAGAACAGAAAGTTTTATAATATACAGTGGTTTGCAAAAGTATTCATACCCCTTGAACTTTTCCATATTTTGTCACATTACAACCACAAACATAAATATATTTTACTGGAATAAAAAACTGAAAAGTGCGATGTGCAAAATTATTCAGCCCCCCTGAGTCAATAC